CCCCAACCCACGGCAGAGCCGTACCCCCACACCCATACAACCTACCCTGCCAACGAAACCCTTAACCCTACCGCCTTAGCCCATCACTTTGACACAATGTCTCTCCGCGAGCCTACTTGGTTTATAGATACCGGTGCCTCTCATCACATCTCGTCTGACCCAGGTACTACTTCTCATGTCTCTTCTCAAACTTTAAATTCACCATTATATATCACTGTCGGAAATGGATCTAAAGTACGCACTACGGCTGTTGGTAGCCACACCCTCCCCACTGAACCCCCCCTTTTCCTTAAAAATGTTTTAGTCTCTCCCCAAATCACCCACAATCTTATCTCTGTTCGTCAATTTACTCGTGAAAATAACTGCTCTGTTGAATTTGATGCTCATGGTTTTTCTATGAAGGATCGTCGAACGGGAACCGTGATGCATCGGTCCAATAATGCAGGCCCCCTCTACCCCGTCGGCCAACCCGCCCCTGCCCATGCCTATGTCACCGCTGTCAATTCTCAAACTTGGCACCAGCGTCTAGGCCATCCCAGTCCAGCAGTTCTCCGTGGCGTCTCGCATCTTCTTCCATCTTTTTCAAATTATTTACATACTTTATGTCATGCGTGTCAATTGGGAAAGCATGTGCGCCTCCCATTTTATAATTCTAGTCGAGTCTCTTATTTTCCTTTTCAATTATTACATACAGACTTATGGCAATCTCCTGTTCCTAGTGTCACTGGTTTTAAATTTTATATGATATTATTAGATGATTTTTCTCATTACTTATGGGTTTTTCCGCTACGACATAAAAGTGATGCCACCTCTCATTTAAACGCCTTTGTTGCTTATGTGAAAAATCATTTTAATACTACAATTAAAACAGTACAATGTGACAATGGAACCGAATATCGTAACTCTCCACTCAAAAACATTTTTGACTCCTTAGGCATTTTATTTCGATTTTCCTGCCCCCATACGAGTCAACAGAACGGTCGGGCCGAGCGCACACTTCGTACCCTCAACAACACTGTCTGAACCCTTCTCTTCCAAGCCCAACTCCCTCCCGAATTTTGGGTTGAAGCTCTTCACATGGCGGCCCACCTCTTCAACATTACCCCCACGACCACGCTAAACAATGCCATCCCTCACACCATCCTTTATCGCACCCCTCCTGATTACTCTCACTTGCGCGTTTTTGGCTGTCTTTGTTACCCCAACCTCGCCGCAACGACACCTCACAAACTTGCACCCCGCTCCGCCCGTTGCATTTTCCTCGGCTACCCGACGAACCAATGTGGCTTCCGTTGTCTTAATCTTGACACCAACAAAATCATCATATCCCGCCATGTCATCTTTGACGAATCCTCATTCCCATTCGCCAATCCGACTAACAACCACGACCTTAGTTTCCTTGACGACACGGAGAACGACATCTCGTTACCCTCCCTACACCTCCCGGCCCAACACCTAAGCCAGCCCCCCAACCCGATTCCTCCCAATCACCCACCCAGCCCGCCACCCATCCCCTTCCCGCCCCATTCCAGCCCACT